TCTGTGCTATTAGTTCTCCTGTTTCATTTCTGATTTTACTGGTATTATTTGGGTCCTCTCTCTTTGATTCTTGATGAGTCTGGTTAAAGATTTATCAAACTTGTTTATCTTTCCAAAGACCAACTCTTGGTTTCATTGACCTTTCTAGTGTTTGCTTTTTAAAAAACTTGTTTCATTTTTTTTCCACCCTGATCTTTATTATTTTCTTTCTTCTACTGATTTTGGGCTTTGTTTGTTGTTCTTTTTCTAGTACCTTTAGGTTCAAGGTTAGATTGTTTATTTGAGATTTTTCTTGATTCTTGAGGTAATCCTGAATGCTATGAATTTCCCTCTTACAACAACTATGGCTGTGTCCCAACAATTCTGGGCTGTTGTGTTTTCATTTTCATTTGTTTCAAGGTTTCTTTTCATTTCTTTCTGAAATTCTTGACCCATTCATTGTTTAGTAACATGTTATTTAGCCCTCGTGTGTTTACCAGTGCTTTTCAGGGTGTTTTTTTTGTTTGTTTGTTTGTTTTGTTTTGTTTTGTTTTGTTTTTCTTGTGATTGGTTTCCAGTTTCATAGCATTATGATCGGAGAAGATGCTTAATATGATTTCAATCTTGTTGAATTTATTGAGACTTGTCTGAAGTGTTACCATGTGTTTTATCACAAAAGGTGTTTCATGTACACCAGAAAAGAAAATATATTCTGCTGACTTGAGGTGAAATGTTCTAAAGATGTCAATTAAATCCTTCTATTCTAGTGTGCCATTTTTTAAATTGACTTCAGAGAGAAGAAGGGAGAGGGAGAGATAGAAACATCAATAAGAGAATCATTAGTTGGCCACTCCCTGCCAACTAATGGGGATCAAGCCTGCAACCCAGGCATGTGCCATGACCGGAAATTGAACTGTGAACTCCTGGTTCACAGGTTGGTGGTCAACTACTGAGACACACTGGCCGAGCTGGTGTGTCATTTAAGCCTGCTACTTCCTTTTTGATTTTTCTGAACGATCTATCCATTGATATCAATGGGGTGTTAAAATCCTTATATAATTGTATTTCTGTCAATCTCTTCCTTTTTGTCCGTCAAGATTTGCTGTACCTATTTAGGTATTCCTATGTTGAGTGCATAAATGTTTATAAGGGTTATATGTTCTTAATGGATTGATCCCTTTATCATTATGTAGTGTCCTTCTCTGTTTCTTAGTCTTTTTTTTTTTTTTTTGAAGTCTGTCTGCTATAAGTATTGCTACCCCAGCTTTTCTATTTCCATTGGTATAAAATATCTCTTTTTATCTCTTTAGTTACAATCTATATTTTTCATTTGAGGTGGGTGTCCTGTAGTCAGCATATATATGGGTCCTGTTTTCTTTACCATTTTACTATCATATGTCTTTTAATGGGAGAATTTAATCTATTTACATTTAAAGTAATTACTGATAAGTACATATTTATTTCCATTTTATTTTTTATAACCATATTCCTTTTTCCCCCTTTCTTCTTAAAGAAGATCCTTTAATATTTCTTATAATACTGGTTTTAGTGGTAATAAGCTCCTTTATATTTTGGGGGGAGGGGGTTGATCTTGGAAGCTCTTTATTTCACCTTCAATTTCAAATGTTAGCCTTGCTTGGTAAAGTAATCTTGGTGGTAGGTCCTTGCTGTTTATCACTTTGAATATTTCATGCTAAAAATTTTTGCCTAAAATGTTTTGTTGAGAAATCAGCTGACAGCCTTATGGAAATTCTTTGTAGGGAACTGTCATTCTATGGTGTTCTTAAGATTCTTTTTGCCTTTAACTCTTGCCATTTTAATTATGATGTGTCTTGGGTTCATTTTGATTGGGCCTCTCTGTGCTTCCTGGACAGGTGTATCTTTTTCCTTCACCAGATTAGGGAAGCTTTCAACCATTGTTTCAAATTCCTTGCTCATTCTCTTCTCTTTCTGGTACCTTAATGATGGACACATTGCTATGTTTTTTGTTGTCTCAAAGGTCTCTTAGACTTTCCTTATATTTTAAAATTCTTCTTTCTTTTTGTTGCTCTGATTGGGTATTTTGCTATCTTGTCCTCTAAATCACTGATTGGATCCTCTGCTTCATCCAACCTGATAATGATTCCCTCTAGTGTGTTATTTATTTCAGCTATTGTATTCTTCGTTTCTGACTGCCTTTTTTAATGCTTACTACCTTACTAACTTAAAGTTCTCATTGAGATAATCTACTCTTCCCCTAAATTCATTGAGTATTCTAATAACCATTGTTCTGAATTCTGCATTTGGTATCTTGGTTGTTTCCACTTAAATCTTTTTCTAAGGATTCCCCTTGTTATTTCATTTGGGGCATGTTTCTTTGTCTCCACATTTTGTCTGCCAGTTTGTGTTTGTCTCTATGTATTTGGTAGACTCCCAAACTTGTTATGGTGGTTTTTGTTGTAAGTATCTTGTGGGCTCAGTGTACTATCTTCCAGATCATGTGGGAACTCCAGGAATGTCTCTTGTGTGGCTTACTGAGCCTTCCTGCTGTGACTGAGTCTTGAATGCTGTTAGTCCATTCATTAATGATGTTAAGCCACATGCTGTCTGATTATTAGGAACGACCCTCACCACACTGTATGAGCTTCTATGTGTTCAAGGTTCAGTTATCCGCAGCAGGATTTGGTGCCTTCCAGGATCTACCTTTGGGTGTGCCACTTGTGTAGCTAGTTGGGTTGTGTTCTGGTGTGGTCTGAAGCCAACCACTGGTTGTGTTGGTTCTGGGTACACTTGGGAGGGGTTCTGGTGCAGGTTGATGTCAAATGCTGCAACTGGCTTTGAGCTACTTGTCTGGAGCTACCAAACAATTCACTATAAGTGACTGCCTCTACTGGGCCTGGGTGTTGTATGGGAAGGGGTCAAGGTGTGTACAAAGATTGATTTCCACAGTCTATTCCACAAGGTGTGGGCTCGATAGAGTGGGGTGATCAAAGTCAGGAGAACAGGGCTAGTGGTTCTCTTGCTTGGAGACAGCACGGTCAGGCACTCAGTGGGGGGAAAGTGGCCCCTACTCCATAACACATACCATACTCCACCTGAGTCTCTGACCCTAGTTCCCTCAAAAAGAGTACACCGCTGGTTCAGGCTGGTATAGCCAACTAAGCCTTCTGCAAGACTCAAGCTCAATAGGGCAGGGTCACTGGGAATCAGGCAGGACAAGTGGACAGGAAGGGCACTGGCAGCACAATGAAGGGTATGGATGGTTCCCACTCTAGAGTTATAAATATTAATGTTTGTCTGAGTCTCTGCCAAGAGCTTCTCAAGTAAAAGAGTGCACTGAAGGTCCCAGTTGAGTGCAGCCAACAGATGTTTCTGCAGGACTTAAGCTTGGCAGAATGGTGCCACCAGGAGTTGGGGACTGAGCTACAGCACTCCCAAGGCTGGTGCTATAAGGATAGGAATACTCTACCTTGAAAAGATAGTGTCTGAGAGCAGTATGGGATAGGGACTCAGCACAGATCACTCCTCGAAACCATGACAGTAGATCTCCTCTTTATGACTCCTGTATGCCCTGAGTCACCTTTTTTCTACTGGAGTTCTGAGTGAGAAAAAGACCTTGAAGAGAATGCCTAGGTTTCTTTCTAGCCGACTCCCATCTCTCCGGCAAGCAAATCCCCACTGATTTTCATGACCAGATGTTATGCAGAAGTCTTTTCCTGGCCTTAGTGCTCTGTATTGGAACCCCTCGTTACTCAGGGGGACCTTTGCAGTGAGATATCCCTCCAGATTCTCAACTGCTACAAGTGGGTGTGAGGCCAGCTCTTTCATCATCTCTGCCCTTATTACCAGTCTCAATGTGGTTTCTTCAATAGATCCTAGGTTATAATACTTCCATGCAACTAGCCTTCAGTTGTTTTTCTCAGGTTGAATAATCCATAATTTAGTTGCAATGGAAGCAATAATTATGCAGCAACTGCTGAATATACAGAGTAAAATTTAGTACAAGAAATATAAAAATACCTTTTTAAATGACATGTTATACAACCTCTCAATTTGTGTTTTGATTGGCAGTACCATATTTGAGTTCTTCAAAATCACACAGGTAAAAATTAGTCTTTTCTGTCTATGGAAAACAATTTAAAATATAATTTAAATTATTATATATATACACTGAGTGGCCAGATTAGTATGCATTCAGAGATCATAATAATCTGGCCACTCAGTGTGTGTGTGTGTGTGCGCGTGCGCACGCGCGTGCTAAAAATTCCATTCCTATATGTAGGTACAGCAGAAATATATTTACATATACATCAAGAGGTAGCATTATTCATTACAGCCCCAAACTAGAAATAACTCAAATGTACATGAACACAATAGATGAATAAATTATGGTAAAGTCATATATTAAACACTAAATAGCAATAGAAATATAAGGATATTAATTTATATACAACAAACATATATTTCACAGATATAATGTTCAACAAAAGGAGTAAAATACAAAAGAATAAACACTGTCTGATTCCATTATTCAAAGTTCAAAATTTTTCAGGCAAAACTAAACTATGCTGTTGAAAAAAAACCACTAAGCTGTAAAAGTAGAAAGAAATGTAATACATAGTTTTATATTGTTCTAGTTCTTCAATCAAGTACCCTGTTTCCCCAAAAATAAGACAGTGTCTTATATTAGGTCTTATTTTGGAGGATGTCTTATTTTCGGGGAAACACGGTAGCATTACAGATATTTTCTCTATAGTAAGTATATCACCAAATTGTACGTTTATGTTTTGTTCACTTTTCTATATGTACTATAACTCAAAATAAAAATGTTTACAAAATAAACTCATACCAATATGTTACGGGTACTTAACAACTCATACCTTATCTTCCATACAAATATGTTATGGGTACTTAATTTTCCCTCAAATAATCAAATTACCATCCTTATTCCTTGAATCTACCCCAAAGTTTCATGCATTAATAAGTGCGTGCATGTACACACACACATGCACACACACACAAACACACAACTCTTTTCTTACCTCAACGAGATTCTGTAAAATCCAGGCTAATCTCAAAGAAACATGCTGGGTTGTGAAAGTGAACAAACTGGCTGCTAAAAATCGTTTACTTCTAGTGAAAAAGTGAAGCATTCGGCAGGAACTGTGTATTAGCTATTTTAAAAAAATTAAGAAAAATACATTTAAACAATAGTGCTTGATGTTTCTATCTTAATTCCATATTCATGCAAACAAACCCAATAACAAGTTACTTAACTACTTAAAGAATATAAGAAAATCAAGTAGGCTCAAGTACTTATAAAAGACTTTTTTAAATATCTATTTTCTACATCTTTACCTATTTTAAATTCAGGAAGTGAGGGGAGAAAGTCAAAGAAGAAGGCTATATTGCTATTTTTCAATAATATATTTTATTATTTTAATAATATATTGCTATTATTTTTGAATAACATATTTTAATCAATCTAGTATTAACCCAGAAGGAATTTTCCCTACACATTAAATACTTAAAATTGGGGTGTATGATTTTAATACTACCTATACTTACCTAATGATTAAAAATTAAACATATATAATTTAAAATGTACTCTTTCTTTATGTATGCATGTAATATTTGTTTTTATCTTTATTTGTATTACTTTTAATTTATTTTTTCTCATCACCATTTATCTCCTCCATGCCCTCTTCTTCTTCTAGTCCGTAATCACCACAATGTTGTCCATGAGTTCTTTTTTCTTCTTCTCAATCCTTTTACCCCAACACCACCCAAAGAGGCCCACACCAAGACACATCATAATTAAAATGTCAAAAATTAAAGACAAAGAGAATATCGTAAAAGCCACAACAGAAAGGCAAGCAGTTCCCATAAGACTGTCAGCTGATTTGTCAACAGAAATTTAAGGTCAAAAGGGACTGGCATGAAATATTCAGTGATGAAAAGACAAGGACCTTCAGTCAATGCTACATTACCCAGCAAGGCTATCATTTAAAATTAAAGGAGAAATAAAGAGCTTCCTACACTAGAAAAAACTAAAGGAGTTTGTAAATTAGCAGTACAGGAAATGTTTCAAGGCTTGCTTTAAGAAGAAGAAAAAGTCATAGCCAGGTTGGCTCAGTGAATAGAGCATAGGCCTGTGGACTGAAGGATCCCAAGTTCGATCCTAGTCAAGGGCATGTATTATACTTCAGTTGCAGGTTCCTCCCCAGCCCAGGTCCTGGTCAGGGCACATGGAAGAGGCAACCAATTAATGTTTCTCTCACATCAATATTTCTCTCTGTCTTTCTCTTCCTCTTCCATTCTTTCTAAAAATAAATGGAAAAATATCCTCAGGTGAGAATTTTTTTTAAAAAGATGACGAAGTAATAAAGGAATCTAGTTTTAAAAATAAAATGGCCATAAATACATACCCAACAATAACTTTAAATGTAAATGGCTTAAATACTCCAAATCAAAAAGACATAAGGTAGCTGAATGGATAAGAAAACAAAATCCATAAGTATGCTGTCTTCAAGAGACCCACCTCAGAGCAAAAGGTACACACCGATTAAAAGTAAAAGGATGGAAAGAGATATTTCATGCAAATGGAAAGAAAAAGAAAGCTGGGGTAGCAATACTTATATCTGACAAAATAGACTTTAAAACCAAGGATATGTTGGAGCCAAAAAGTATCCTATCTAGTAAATTAGTAATATAAAAATTGACTGTACCTCTGCTACACCCACAAGTCACGGCCACCAGTCAATCAGGAGAGAGTATGCAAATTAACCCAACCAAGATGGATGCAGCCATGGGGCTGCAGCAAGCAGGAGCCTTGGGTTTTCCTGGCAATGGAGAAAGCCAAGCTTCCCTGCCACCCTTGCTGGTCCAGGCCTACACTCAAAACTACAAAGTTTCAATTATAGAAGATAAATAAATCAAAAAAAAAAAAAATGGCAGTAGACACAGAGATGGAGAGAGCAGGAGGCTTAAGGTGCCCCCAGCAATAGAGAAAGCCATGCTTCCACAGCTCTGGCCTGTCTTGGCCTCCACTACAAAGATTCAATTATAGAATATAAATATCGGGTCTAGTAATAATTAATGTCGTTTTAAACATTCGTTTAAAATCTTGCTTGGCGTTGACTTGTATTGACATAACCTTCAAACACGTGGTATCTACAGAACGTGTGAAGTGCAATTAACAAGTTTTGCTTGAAAAAGTTTGTGTTTGGTTTGGTTTTTGTTGCAAAACTAGGGCTAAGAAGATGGCGGATGAAGAGCATATTCAGCACTGCATGCTTTACGAGTTCCAATTAGGAAGAAAAGCAAGTGAGGCTGCAAAAAACATCTGTAGTGCTCTTGGTCAAGATGCAGTTAGCACCAGAAAATGCCAGCATTGGTTTGAGAAATTTCGCGAGGGAAATTTTTCGTTAGATGACAAGAGTGGTTGAGGCCGTGTGTCCAATTTTGATCAAGAAGCTCTTCAAGCTCTTTTGGTGCAAAATCCTCAAATTACCCAACAAGAGCTTGCGACAACTTTAAATTGTTCACAAAAAACAATTTCCAATCAATTGCATGCACTTGGCAAAGTCCAAAAGTTTGGAAAATGGGTTCCTCCTGAGTTGACCGACAACAACCGTAATCAAAGAGTCACAATTTGCAGTTCGCTCCTCTCTCGTCAAAACCGTTTGCCGTTTTTAGAGCAAATTGTTACCGGAGATGAAAAATGGGTTCTGTATGTTAATTTGAAAAGGTGGCCTCAATGGTTGGACAAAAATGAGGCTCTGCAGCCCACACCAAAACCTGACTTGCATGCGAAAAAAGTGATGTGTGTTTGGTGGAATTTTAAAGGAATTCTTCATTATGAACTTTTACCATCTAACCAAACCATTACAAGTGCAGTGTATAGTGCCCAATTGGAAAGGTTAGCCCAAGCTTTAAGAGAAAAAGAACCCGCGCTGATTAATCGGAAGGGCGTAATTCTTCACCACGATAACGCACAACCGCATACTGCAAGAATCACTGCTCAAAAACTGCGCCAGTTGGAATGGGAAGTTCTCCCTCAACCTGCATATTCTCCTGATATTGCCCCTTCCGATTATCATTTGTTTCGTTCTTTGCAAAACTTTCTTCTTGGAAAAAAATTTAATAATGAAGAATGCCTCAAAAATGCATTGACCGAATTTTTTGCATCAAAATCACAAGAATTTTACAACAGAGGGATTAAAATGCTTCCTGAGCATTGGGCACAAGTAGTAGAAAACAACGGCAACTATATTGTTGATTAAATTTTGTTGTATTGTTTAAATAAATTCGATTTAAAAAAGTATTAGAAAACGACATTAATTATTACTATACCTAATAAATCCCTACAAAAATGGCTGCAGCCATGGAGTGAGCAGGAGGCTTGGCTTCACTCAAGGCTACAAAGTTTCAATTATAGAAGATAAATAAACCCTAGATATCAGGGCTGCCACTTGGATCACGGGGAGGCATGGCTGGCCTGCAAACCACCATAGGCCCCTCACCCAGGCCGCCCCACGCCCCAAGGGAACTCCCACTCTGATCCGAGACACCCTTCAGGGCAACCAGCTAGCCCCAACCCATGCACCAGGCCTTGATCCTATCTAATAAAAGAGTAATATACAAATCGATCATCACTCCAACATACAAGATGGCCACCAGAAGATGGCCAGCAGAGGAGGGCCGTTGGGAGGGACCTGCAAGAGAGGGCAGTTGTGAGTCATCAAGCCAGCAGGGGAGGGCAGTTGGGAGGCACCAGGCCTGCAAGGGAGGGCAATTGGGGGCTATCAAGCCTGCAGGGGAGGCCAGTTAGGGATGACCAGGCCAGCAGAGGAAGAAAGTTGGGGATGACAGGGCCTGCAGAGAAGGGCAGCTGGGAGGATCCAGGCCTGCAGAAGAGAGCAGTTGAGGGGACCAGGCCTTTAGGGGAGGGCAGTTAGGGGTGACCAGGCCTACAGGGGAGGGCAGTTAGGGGAAATCAGGCTAATAGGGGAGCAGTTAGGCATCAACCAGGATGTCAGGGGAGTGGTTAGGTGGTGATCAGGCTGGCAGGCAGAAGCGGTTAGGGGCAATCAGGAAGGCAGGCAGGTGAGTAGTTGGAAATCAGCAGTCCTGGATTGTGAGAGGGCAGTTGGACATCCCTTGAGGTGTCCCATATTGGAGAGGGTGCAGGCTGGGTTGAGGGACACACACCCCAGTTGCACGAATTTCATGCACCAAGCCTCTAATTTATATATATAAAAAAAACATAGACTGTAACAACCATAACGACCAGTCGCCCTGACGCCCACTGTGGCCAGCGAACCTGCTGGGCTCCAACCCTGATCACCCCCCAGCTCTATGGGGGGGCGGGGCTGGCCCACCAACCTCCTGCAGCCCCTCCCAGGCCATGGCCCCCAATCACCACCGCCCACCCCATTCAGGAGTGGGGCCAGCTAGCCCACTGCCCAAAGCCTCTCCCCATGGCTGGCCCCACCACCAATCATCCCCCTAACCCCAATAAAGGCAGAGCCTGCCAGCCAATCACCCTCAGCTCCTTCTCCCAGCCAGCCCACCATGATCAGGCACTGATTGGGGTAGGCCAGCCAGCCAACCTCCTGCAATCTCCTCCTCACAACAGGCCAAGCCCTGATCCCCCCGAATTGGGACTAGGCTGACCTGATCCCCCCTGTGTATGCATTTGTGCACTGGGCCTCTAGTATAATATAATGACAAAGGAATCATTACCCTTGTAAACATTTATGCACCCAACATAGGAACACCTAAATATGGAAAGCAAGTCTTGATGGACATAAAAAGAGAGATTGACAGTAATATAGTTATAGTAGAGATTTTAATATCCCATTGACATCAATTGATAGATCTTCCTGACAGAAAATCAATAAAGAGATGGAGGCATTAAATGACACAGAAATAAAGACTTAATTCATATCTTCAGAGCATTTCACACCAAAGAAGCGAATATACATTTTTTTCAAGTGGATATGTAACATTTTCTAGGATAGACCACATGTTAGGACAATAAACAAGTCTCCATAAACTTAAAAAGACTGAAATTATATCAAGCATCTTCTATGACTATAATGCTATGAAACTTAAAATGAATCACTAGAAGAAAACTGGAAAGAAAAAAAAAAACACATAAAGATATGGA